GAATCTTACTATGTCACTCTCAATAGAACGCTGTGGCTTCCAACTCTTGGGCTTAAGCGATTCTCTTGCCTCAGCCTCCCAAGTAGCTGGGACTACAGTTGCCCACCACAAAGCCCAGCTATTTTTTTCTTGTAGTTGTCATGGTTGTGTAGCAGGCCTGGGCCGGGTTCAAACCTGCCAGCCCTGGTGTGTGTGGCCCTAACCATTTAGCTATGAGCGCAGAGCCCCAAATTTATACCATTATTGCATTGTGATCCACAGATTTAAAACTTTATATGGTTTATGGTACTTACCTTTTTCCCTGAAAATTATTTCATTTCTCTTTAGTAGAGATAGAATCTGCCTTGATTACAGGAGATTTTCCTATATACTTACATCACCTAACTTAACGTCTTGCCCCGTAAGAGATTCTCAGTAAATATTTGTTGGATAATAAGCCAGTTCACTATGAGTCTGATGTTGGGCAATACTGAAGGGAACTGAGCACAAAAACCTGACACTTTCATTGCTGTTTCTCTTCTGACAAGATAGCACAGCTACCTGCCGGAAAATCTGTAGACAGATTTCCTAATTTCCTGTAGCTGAGGTGAGTGGAATAGCCTTGGGCAAGAAGCCAGAGAAATGAGACTCCAGCCCAGAGCATGCACAGGGTGGCACGGGGGACTCAGAAAATCAAAGCCCCTTGCGTGGTTTGCGTTGACCAGATGGATGACGTGACCATAGTCAGCAGAGTGGTGCCTACAGCCCTTTTCCCCTCCCTGGCTCACAGCCCAGTTCAAAGACACTGGGGCTGTCTGAAGAAAGACCATAGCTTTTCTTACAGCAGGTCAGGACATCATTGACAAGATTTCTCTAATACTTTCTTGGAGAAAGATGAATCTTCCATGTTTTGACAGCACATAACAAATTTAAGAGAGTAGAGAGGAATAGCAAGCTTCCATTCAACCCCTGAGGACTTAAGGACTAGAGTACTCTATACTTTGTCAGCCGAGAGTTAGATCAACTTTAGAAGCCTCAACTATAATCATTTCTGTTATGATGGCTTCAGCAGACAAAAGACAATTGGGAAAAATAATACTTTACTAAGTAAATTTGTCCATCTTGTCTAAATTGCCTAATTTGTTGGCATACAGTTGTTCATAGTATCTCCTTATCATGCTTTTTCCCTCTCCTCAGACTGATAGTAATGTGCCCCCCTTTCATTCCTGATTTTTTTTTTTTTTTTTTTTTTTGAGACAGAGCCTCAAACTGTCCCCCTGGGCAGAGTGCCGTGGCATTACAGCTCACAGCAACCTCCAACTCCT